TTTTTTTTTTTTTTTAATTTCACGCATTTTCTAAAAATTCCCACTGCAAGAATGAATAGATGATTAAAATTAAAATACCTCGGAGAACACTTACCGTTGCCATGTCTACGAAGATATCGCGAATTGAAGAAATAATTAAATCGTTGTTTCACGTACGAAGGGAGAACTATTTTTCGACTATTTTTTTTTTTTCTCAAATTGTGGAAGCAAGCGAACGATAATTTCACCGGCGAAAGTCCTCGGTTATGAAGACGATTCGAGTGTCACCACGCGGTGGTCACGAGGCACGAGTTTCGATGCCAAAGCGTTGGTCTCGTCTCTTGAACGATGATTGAATAAAGAGGGGATGTTTGGTACCACGAGAGCTTAGAGTTTGGAGGTCAGAGGGCGAGTGATTGGTGGAGCTTGCGCGGGCCACATTTATACTGCAACCACTCACCCCTCTTCTACGTTCTTCTTCCGTACCACCAAGAGTACCAAAGCTGTATCCATCGCTATTGGTACCAGCATCACCGATTCTGTTCCTCCTCCACGTTGTTACGCCCCGTATGCGTATTATATACTCTCTGTTTCATTACGTCATTGGATTTAGTCTCCACCCTGAACGATATCGCGCAGCAAATCTTTCAACGAAACTGGCCGCCGCTGATTCCACGAAAAACTATTTTTCCAATCGGCGAAATTTTTTACATGGATTCATGAATGAACTTTTGTGAATGGAGCCCGACTGGAAGGGGTGGAAGACGTCGTTTCCAGATATAACACGATCACTTTCGATTCATGGACGAATAAATATCGAAATTCACCTGAAAATAACGATTTTATTCAACTTTTCTGAATTTTCGTGCAAATTTTGAGAACGAAGGAAACACAAGTGCAAGATAAAGGTAATAAAATAATTTTTTTTTTTACTATTATATATACTTACTAAAATACTGGAAGAAGCTTGAATTTTCTTTTTTTAAATTTCAAAGTTTCTTATTTGCTTATTTTTAAAAAAGACTTTTTTCTCGTTTTCTTCATATCATAATATCCATTGTCAAAATGATTTTAATACGAAAATCGGTATATAGATATCGAAAAAAGGAGAAATGGAGGATAGATTGCTTTCGTAACCTTTAGATGAGATTGCAATTGATATTTGTATACTAGAATGAATTTCGTTCTTTCAAATGGCCAAATGTATACCACTGTTATATCTGAGCATATTAAAATCTTTTTACGTTTATTTGAGCGTAGAGAAATATTTTTCCCCCCCTCCTTCCCTTTTTTTCTTCTCATTCTTCCCTCCTGTTTTTTTAATTTTCCAGTTTCTTCAATTATTGTTCACGATTCACGCTTAATGCGAAGAGAATTATCACGCATCCCAATCAATTAATACTTCGTTGATCGATTCGACGAAATACATGTAATACACTCACGAAGTGTTATACAGAATTAAAAGAAATCGATCGGTCAGATACGTTGTTATACGTAAATGTTGACGAACCTTTAATGAAACAGTGGAATTTAATATCCAAAGCTTCGAAAGATGTTCTCGGAAATTTTTTCGACGATGGTTTAACGAATGTTAAGAATTACAGCAGCGAGTTTTTTTTTTTTTTTTGAGGAATAATTAACCCACAACGCCCGCGTAGGCCTCATTAAAAACGATAGGCAAGACTTGGCAGGCAGGTATCTGTTTAATGTGAAAAAGCAGTCGTTCGTTTTTTCTTTTCTTCTTCTTCTTTTCTTTTTTTTTCTTTTACTTTTTTCAGTATATCCTTTCGTGAATAGGTTAAACTCTTGTTGTGCATTTAGATTTAAATTTTTTTCTTCTACCACTATCATTATCCCTTTACAGTTATAAAATTATATATCAGGTATACTTTCGTAATCGAATGTACAGTCAAACTGATTTTCTATAAAAGAAAACATGTAACCTCTCTTTCTATCCATTATTATTTATCTTATTGATGATAGATTTCTCTTCGTTTTGTTTCATTCTCTCTTGTTGCTGAAATTCAATGAAATCGTAATGATTATTCTTATAGTATAGCTTTTTATAGAATATCAAAAAAAAAAAAAAAAAATTGTGAAAAAGTTTAATTCGCAATTAATGGAATAATTTTAATTCGAAGAGAAAGAAAAAAAGATTCGAAAATGTATTAATAGTAAAAAAAAGAAAGGAAGTTTGAAGAGGTGCGGAGGACAGACGTAGTGGCGCCTTCGGGGCGAAGGATCTGCGTAATTCGGCATTTATCACCGCAACCATTACGTAGCATGGACTGGCTATATCGATGTGCGTCATCGAGAGATTTTGTTTTTTCTTATGATGTCACTATTTTTTATGTTTAAACCTTCTTTTCTTTGAATTCCAGCCAAATATGTGCGTGTGTCACGTATTTTTTTAAAAAATGGCTAAAAAGAAAAAAATAATAATTAAAATAATTTTAATTAAAAAACAATTAATCATTAATAATTCTAATTTACAGTAGATGAAATTGAAATAAGAGATGTAAGATATTATAGCTTTGAAAAAAGTTGATTTTATATTTGAAATAAATTTTAATAAGGTTTCACGCTTGAGAAAGATGGGGTGAAATCGTAGCTTTTACGAACGATTCGTTCTTGAAAGATGTAAAGGCCAGATCAAGTTATTTAACAGAAGTAATCTTGTTAATATTACGATTGCGGTTACGATTGCCCTTAATAGGTTACGTAAGGTTTATAATCTTTGTCTTTCTCAAGCTCGTTTACCTTTCCTCTCTTATTTCTTGAATTGAATATAAAATTCGTTCTGGAACTTTAGTAGCTTCTTTAATTATTAGTGATCCTGTTCTTCAATATTTCTTCAACATTCATCATATTGATAGAACTGTTTCATCGAATCGGAGAAAGGGATATTTATATATATAATTGCATGTTAAAATAGATTATAATTCAAATCAATTTGTGAATTCGATGGATCGATGCTTTGTTTCACACTTTTAAATAAGTACTTTATAAATCTTAAAGTAATCCTTGCATAATTTTATATAAAAATAATTTCAATATATCTTGATATCTTTTCTGTTATATTAGTCGTTTTTATTATATTTGAATTTTCTTTCATTTTTTCTTTCAATTTTATTTTTCTCGAAAGATCTTTTTATAACTTTTTCATTTCATTCGATATGAACGATTGAAACGTTACGACTTGCACATTTGTCCTGTTTCGAACAAACTAACTCGAATTAAGGCATTTCGACTCATCGATAGTAAAACTCTCGTGAACACTTTCTCGTTCTACAAATCGATCAGTAGGAAAATCAAATGAACTTTTTGTTAAGATAATCAAATCACTATAACATAGTTGATATTTTATCTGTATTAACTCTATTTTTTATATGACAATTTTTTATTCACAACTTTCTAATCTATAAATATAAAATAAAGAAAAAATAAATAAAAATAAAGTAAAATCTAATTTTTTTTTTACCATCTATTTCTATAAAGTAAATTTACTTGAAAATAAAAATAATAGAGAAAGGGGAAAAAAGGGAAAAGAAAAGATAGATTATAATAGAAAAGAATAAGAGATTATGCGTAGGTTATTGGCGTCTATATAAGCATCTTTCTCCATATAGATCCATTCTTCTGCTCGTTTATGCATTTCAACTTTCATAGATTCCCAACAAGAATCATTTATGCAATAATAGGATATAATTTTATGGTTTGAAATGATGGGGTCAGGTTCGCCCTTATTTTTATTATGGTTACTAAAAATCAGATGGATTATTATGGCAGAAAATTACTGTGCAATTTTTTCTATCCATTCATTGCTCTTCATGTAATACCTTATAATTTTTTAATTTAAGTATCCGATGATGTATTTCTAGACGCCATTATTCGAATAAAAATTAAATCTTTTTAAATGGTTTTAAACTTTTATATTGCAAAAGATTATTATTAAATCATATTCGTCGAATGATAAATAATTGATTTTTTATAATATCTATAAAATAATACATTTTTTTTTACCTATGTAAAGATATTTTTTTGACATCTTTTACCAATGATTTTATTTTATAAGTGATATACTAATGTTTCGTAATTGAATATATTGAACTTATGCAACTTTTTAAAAAGATTCTTAAAAGTTGATTGGTTCTTGAAATTGTATACAATACTTATGTATTTATTAAATAAGAACGTAATTTTATTTTGATTTATTAACTACTAAATATGAAAAAGATTATATTATAATTATATAAATTACATTTCATTGAATATTTTATTATTATGACTTAAATTAACAAAAAATTTTGTTCTATGACGAATCAAATTCCCTTACGCGTTACGCGGTATTGTAGTGCCATCTTGCGCCAGCTTTAATGTATTATACGGAAGTCACGTTCCCTCCATACCAGAAACTACGAAGTGGAAAAAGAAATAGCAGAATAAGGACGTAAATAGGGTTTCGACGCATCGAAAAGGATAGAAAACGAATATTAAGTTGAAGCGAGAGAATAAAAACGGAGCAATAGAAAGCAGGAGAACAAGTGCCTTCTGCTGATCAACGGTGTAGCAAATTATTCGATATTTCTCTACATTGTCTACAACAAGCATTTTACGGTAATTATTTGATTATTTGACAGTTAGTTAAATTTATGTAACAAATACTTATATATAATATTGTTTTTTATCTTTTAAAATAGTTAATATTTTGTTTACATAATTCGTTACAAGAAAATGTCGTTTAAATCTTTTATGACATTTTTTTATATGATGAAGTTTCTTTCTCTTTCTAAAAAAAGATTAAATTTGATTATAATTTAGTAATATATGAAAAAAAAAGTTTCAAAAATATTTTTCTAAAAATAAATAAATCTTAATGATATATACATTAAGAATAAAAATTATGATGCTAACATTAAAATCAGAGAATATTTTATTTTTATAGAGAAAGAATTTTTTAAGGCAAAGCATTTTGATTAATAAATATATTGAAAATAGTTCTTCAAAATTTATTCTAGATGCCTAATATCAAGCTACAAAGCTCCGATGGTGAAGTCTTTGAGGTTGATGTCGATATTGCAAAATGTTCTGTTACGATAAAAACCATGTTGGAAGATCTTGGAATGGATGAGGACGAAGAAGAAGTTGTTCCTCTTCCAAATGTTAATTCTGCTATTCTCAGGAAAGTGATACAATGGGCAACTTATCATAAAGATGATCCACCTCCTCCTGAAGATGATGAAAACAAAGAGAAACGTACTGATGATATAAGTTCTTGGGATGCAGATTTTTTGAAAGTAAATATTTGATTTTTATTAATACACATTTATTTATTTATTTTTTTTTGCTTTTATATAAATATTTGAAACATATTTATAGGTTGATCAAGGAACATTGTTTGAATTAATTTTGGCAGCTAATTATCTTGATATTAAGGGATTGTTAGATGTAACATGCAAAACTGTTGCTAATATGATAAAAGGTAAAACTCCAGAAGAAATTCGGAAAACATTCAATATAAAAAATGATTTCTCTGCATCTGAAGAAGAACAAGTTCGCAAAGAAAATGAATGGTGTGAAGAAAAATAGATTAAAATATTCATAAACATTTGATTTCTTGATTTTTGAAAAATTCATTTCCAGTGTGTTCAAAAATTTAATAGTTAATACACTATTTGCATTGTTTTAGATAATTCATAAGAATGGTCACAATGCTTTACTTATAATACTTTCAATGCACCAAATAGTGATTACATTATATAAATGGATTATTTCTTCCAAGAAAAAGTTGTATTAATGTGTTTATTGTTTATTTATTTCAAATTTCTAGTACAATATCAAATAATATTATATTAGCGTATAATAATGAAAGTTTAACAAACAAATTATCATTTTAATAATTATTATTGGAAGTTAGGAGTATATTAGATCTGAATAAAAATTGTGTTTCATTTATATAAAATATAAATTTAATTTTTATTTTTATTTTGAATAATGCTTATATTGTAGGTTATAAAATGTAAAACGAAAAGTTATTTTAAAAAAAAAAAATGTAAATTTATTACAAAAGAAATTATTAGGATTCGTTATTAAAATTCACATACTTTATAACATGTAATACCCTTAAATAATGTTTAATGTTTACATTTTTGAAAAGTATATACATTTAACAGAGAACACGCGCGTGCGCAAATACATGTTGTGTTACGTTTTTTTATTCACATGTATAAATTAAATACACAATGTACATCTTTGTTCTAACAAAGAAAAATTATATATATTATTTTATATTATTAATTGTAGTGATTAAAAAATATTAGTAAATAAAGAAATTATGATTTATATTTATATATTATATTAAAAACATGTAACATAACCTATAATAAAAACGAATTAGAAAATTGTTTTATAAATTAAAGAATCAATATAGAATAATATTTAATAAAAATGAGTAAGTATAAATATACTATAATTGAAAAATTCAATTACTTATTTTTAAGTTGAAATATTAATAATTCTAAAATATTTTAGATGAAGAAAAAGAAAATTTTACATTTTATTCCAATGATTTTAAAGATTTTACAAAAAAATTACATGATATTTGTAATTGGAGTCAACTTGATAATGTCGCTATAGAATATCATGATTTACAGGAAACTATCTATATACATTACAAAGAACTTTTTCATTTAAAATCTATGATTTCTGATTATTTAAAACATATACAAAATGTTGAATTTATCGGTATAAATTTTGATATTCCTGAATATTGTGTAATTTCTCTAATACTTGGGTAAGGAATTTTAAATTATATAAAAAAATTTAATATTTTATATAACAAATATAATAATTAATTTTTATTGTTTGTGATTTTTTTTATATAGAATTTTAAATAGTAAGCATAGTTTTATAAATATACCTGTAGATTCAACAGAATTTATAAATTTAAAAAATCATTTAAATCTATGTTATTTATTTTGTACACAAACTAATATTGAAGGAAATATTGTTTGTCAATTTGAGATACATAGAGAATGTATTTATCTTATAAAATTGAAAGATGTACGAAAACAAATTATACAAAATGCAAAACAAAATTATTATGCTTATGCAATTTCTACTTCTGGTTCAACTGGAGTACCAAAGGTGATCAAAGTACTCCATTCATGTATAGTTCCTAATATTTTAGATTTGAACAAAATATTGGCAATAACAAAATGTGATAAAATTTCTCAATTTACAAATTTTACATTTGATCCTAGTATTATCGAAATTTTTCTTGCCCTCTCAAATGCTGGAACATTGTTTATGGTTTCAAAATCATTAAAGAATAATCCAGATAGGTAAATAATAATTATAAATATATAGAAACAAAGTATAAGTTTTATATAGTTTTATATACTTTTACACGAACATTTTTTTTTTCAGATTGTTGAAAATAGCTTATTCTAGCCAGATTACTATACTACAAATAACCCCATCAGTTTTTATATATAATTGGTCACCTGAATCTTTAAAAAGCAGTATTTTAAGTAATAACACTTCGTTAAGAGCTATTCTTTTTGGTGGAGAACCTTTTCCAAAACTTGAAGTAATTTCTGAAACTATGCACCCTTATAATAAATATACTAAAATTTATAATATCTATGGTATTACTGAAGTATCCTGTTGGGCTAGCATTAATGAAATTTTAATAACAGGTGGACAATTTAATGTACATTACTTGGGACAGGTATTATCACATACTTTGCTTCAAGTTAGAAACAAAAGAGGAGAAGTAATAACAAGTGGTACAGGTTTTCTTTATATAGGTAATTTTATAATACATATATTTAATTTTATTTTACTAATTTTATAAAAATGTTATTATTGTTTATACACTTTTGAATAGGAAGTAATCAAAGAGTGTGTCTAGTGAATGATGAAAATATTGAAGATTTAGAATTACCAGTATTTCGTGATTCTGGTGATATTGTTGATGTAAGTTTATATAAATTTAAATGACACATAATAACAAAGAAATTATTAATAAAAATATATTTCTATTTTAGATTGATGAAGAGGGTAAAATATTTTACAAAGGAAGAAAGAATAGTTTTATAAAAAGATTTGGAAATAAAGTAGATTTGACAAAACTTAAAGAATTTGTATTGCAAATAGATTTTGTAAAAAATTGTTACGTTTTATGGGATGATAGTTATCATCATTTACATTTGTATTTTTCTATTAAAAAAAACGTGGTTAATTATCATAATATAAATATTAAAATAATGAAATATTTATGTAAATTAAATCCTTTATATAGACCAGATAAAATTCATTTCATGAATCATATAGAATTTACATCTAGTGGAAAAATTTCTTTGGAACGTTCAAAAGAACATTATATACAAGACAAAATAACACATAAAATAATAAATAATATCGATTTACAACAAATTGAAGTTGCGTTTAAATCTATTTGGGAAAATAATCTACAACGTAAAAATATTGGATTTATAAAATTAGGAGGTACATCTATAGTAGCACTTCAAATATCAAATGCCATGTCTGAAATATCAAACATAGAATTTCCTAAATTAATTGGTATGCTTTTAATGGATTCTACTATTGATGAATGTCTTAATTATATAAAAAGTATTATATTGAATAGTCAAAATGGAATAATTAATCTTAAGTCTCATAATAATATTAGAGAATTACCTTTAATCACTGTTATTACAATAGAAGATGAAAAATCTTTTAGAGATTCTAATGAAAAAAACAAAAAATATGATTTAACAATTCAAGTAAATGACATTCATTTATGTCAATGGTACAAATGTAGAGGACAAGTATGTAATTATGTATCAGATATAAATGAAAAATTTAAATTACAATATGATACAATTTCAAAAGTAAAAATACAAAAAACATATGATATGAGAAAATGTGTAGATGCATCACCAACTATATTTCATTATTCAGAGTAAGTATATTTTTATTAATCAATGATTTTCAATTTTATAATTTTATTAATATATTAATATATAATAATTAATAAATATCTTATATAGTGGAAAAACATATGCAACAGTTGGTTCTCACTCTGGTTTTATTTTTACGTTTGAATTAGAAAAAGAATGCCATAATCCTATATTTAAAATCAAGCTACCTGATAGAATTGAATCTTCAGTTCTGATTTTGGATAATTTTAGAGGTATAGTAGGTAAGTTTTTAATGTATATAAAAGTTGTTCACATTCTTGGTATATTGTCTTTTTCTTTTTTACAGGATGTTATGATGGCAATATATATTGTTTTCATTTAAAAACGGGAAAATTTATTTGGAATTATAAAACAGGAAATGTTGTAAAAAATTCTGTAATATTTTGTAAAGAAAAAGGAATAATATTTGTTGGCTCTTATGATTGTTACATATACTGTTTATCTGTTAAAGTACATGTTCACAATTAAATTACATTACATACTATAAAAAAATAAATGTAATGATAAAAATAAAATATTTTCATTATAGGATGGATCTGAAATTTGGAAATTTAAATTCGGAAATGGAAGCATTAATGCTTCTGGTTGTCTACACTTTCAATCAGATACTGTATTATTTGGAACTTTAGATGGATTTTGTTTAGCTCTTCAACAATTATCAGGAAAACTTGTATGGAAATATAAATTATCAGATCCAATTTTTGTTGCTCCTGTGTCATTGAATAATGGACTCGTTTTATTTTGTTCTGTAACAGGATTATTATGTTGTTTTGATATTGAAGTTAATGTTAAGGTAATAAGTATATAAAAATATATTTATTTTTTGTATAAACATAATTATTCTCTATTTTTTAATTTTGCAGATGTGGACATACAAAATTAATGGCAATATATTTTCATACATTGTAAAACAAAATGATGCAAAATATGAAAATATTATTTTAGCTAGTCAAAATAAGAATTTATACTGTTTAGAATCGAAAGATACAAACTTTAAAACTAAACCGACATTGAAATATGTATTAAATTTTCATTCGCCAATTTTGGCCACACCTTGGTGTGAAAATAATTTTTTATTTATTGCATGTAAAGATGGTACTTTAAATATTTACAACTCTATAAAGAATAGAGTGATAAAAATTGAAAAACTTCCTGCAGAAGTTTTCTCATCACCTGTTGTTAATAATAATATTATAATTATTGGATGCAGGGATAATAATGTTTATGCTTTAGAACTTGTTTAAATTTTTTCGGTAAGTAAACATATGAAATATTTCTTAAATTGTAACAGATAGGAATACAAATTAATGAAATTAATATAATACGATTTATTTTTTTTTTTTATGACTGTCACATTACAGTTACGTGAATAACGTTTTAGATAAAGTAATAGGAAATCACATACTTTTTTTTTTGTTCAATAAATTTCAATAAATTTTATACATAATACAAATTCATGGTGCGCTTACAGTTTGAAGAGAAATGCAAGCGAAATAAGAAATTCTGAAAAATAGCCAATCAATCACAATAACAAAACATTCACGCATACGCAAGTGCACACGTATAGTAATTTTTAAAGTAATTTTAATTCTGTACATAATTATTCTTTTTAAATTTATTAATGTGTTTTTTAAATTCATATTAATGATCTTGTAAATATTAGACAAAGAAATATTCCAGCTCTCAGTTCACATAAAATAACAACATTTCAACGATTCCATTTTTTTTTATATTCTCATTCAAACATATTTAAGAATGAGAAAGTATATATATATTGTATATATAATATATTTATTCAATATATATATTTAAATGGTTGGCCGCTTTTTTTTTCTTTCATTTTATTTTGACATCCATTTTTTGTAATATTTTCTATTGCAAGCAAATTAATCTTTGCGAGCGCTTTAATTTATACGTATGTACTTTGAATTCTTTAACGTATGTGTTTGAAATTTATATTAATAATTATCATAACTAAATGTGCAGAATCAATATGACATATTTTCTAATTCTATACTGCGGCATGCTATTTATATAATTGCGTGTAGAATTTATTTTTTTAAATTATCTCTATCTTGTACCTCGTGTCGTAACGCATTTTTACTACTGCAATTAGTAATATAACTATAGGACTTTTTAACATTTACAATCTCAATAAACAATTATATTCTTATGTTTTAATTTGATAATTAAAATATGATACATTTATAAAGTCACGATAATCGGCTCTGTCATGTTTTATTCAAATTACGTTATATCCATGATGAATACATGGGCACACTTAAACCACACAGTATCTTGTATTTTGAAATTTGTTTTGTTAAAATTTATCGACGAATATCCAAATGACAAATGTTACAAGCTCTAACATTTTCATTTTCTGTGAAAATGGTTGTACACGTGTACTTTAGACATAATGTAAAAAGGGCAGTTTTTAGAATTAGATTGGAATAAATTTGAAAAATAAATTTTTAATAACGTTTCTTATTGAAATTCTCTGTTAAAGAGAATCTAGAGAATTAGGCATAAATTTATTAATTGATCGCATCTCCTTCTAGATTTCGATAAACGCCGACGTTATCGATATACACACATTAAATTATATTCGCTCGTTTTTTCAATTCAGCATGAACTATTTTTAAAACTGACCAATAATTATCTTATGGTTACTGATCTTCATCGCCTAGATCTTGCTTTACTTTATTAAAATCGAATTCCTCTCCAGTAGCTCGTTTAAATATATCAAGAACATCTAAACAAGTAGTTTCAAAATGCGTTGTGGCATCATAACTCGTTGATATAAAAATTTGACTTTCCAGACCAGTGTCTGTTGGTTCCATATAATCAGAAACTGATATGAATTTTTGTTTAATTGATCCGAGTAAATCCAAACCTGGTTTGATTTCGGCTTCTGGATTTTTCGTCTCAACTGTAGTGGATACCATGGCTATGAACCAACCCTTTGCTGCTACTTGATGCGTATGCGATATCAAAGATACATAGATATCGGAATTACGATTAACCTTAAATATAAGAAGAAATAAATAGAAAATAATAATAATAAATAAAAAGAAATAAAGAAATGAATGAATATTTTGATGCACAATGAAAATGAAAGATAAATCTTTTTTACTTGTTTTTGAGGAATAATAATTTGTGTTGAAAGAGCATCTGCTGTATTTGGTATTGGATGGTCTAAAAGACAAATACATCTTATGACCTGACCCACTTTTTTCACGCGATCAGGTACATATGTGGGATCACAAAATACTTGTTTGCATTGGGCCACCTCGTCGCCAGAACGTACACCAACAACCTGTAATGAAAATCGATAATTAATTATTAATCAAAAAATTTTTTATTTTGCGAAAATAGATCGATTATTTATTACCTTTCCATCTTTCATTACAATTTCATCAATCGGTTTGTCTAACATGTATGTTCCGCCATAAATGGCACTAAGTCGTGCAAAACCTTGAGGAAGTTCACCCAAACCATACATAGGATACAAATATGGAGATTTTCCATAACGTGCTAAACTATCGCTATACAATTTAATTCTTCTTATAGTAGTAATTGCGCTTTGACTTATATATTCATCATCTCTGAAATACAAATGCAATATATTAAATATTAATCAATGATATTTTTAAAATAATATTTGTATCTATATTTTTTTTTACCTGTAAAGACCTAGTGCATGCCCAGTAAAATCTTGAGTGTTTTTATCGAGATTAAACTTATTGTATAAAGCACTCATACTATTATTAAATGGATCGAAACCATCCCAAGTTCTGGGATCATCTTCTTGCATATTTTGTACCCATATAAGGAAACTGCGAAAACGTCTTTTTTCGAAAAGACCCATTAAATCACTAGATAGTGCTTCCTGTTGATCAATCGGCACTTTCGAAATCTTGCCCGATTTATAAACATACGATCCTTCAACACATTTGAATTCCAAATAACGCGTCACGCCTGTGTGAATTAGAAGTTTTACCAACAAGCCGTTTGCCATCAGGAATTTTGGAATCAAATCTACATTCCAATCGCGACCACGACCATAAGTTTCATCAGGTGAGGGGGCTTTGAATTTCCTAAATAGAGATATAAACATAAAATTAATAATAATAAAAATAATAATAATAATATAATAATAATAAATATATATTTTGTAACAAAATATATATAAATAACATTAAATTTTTTCATTTATTTTTTTTAATTTTTTAAACGATTTATCAACAAATAAAATTATGTATAAATTGAAATTATAGAAATCGTTAAAATATATATTTGATATTAATATTGTTTTCAAATGTTCTTTAAATCGTATTATATACATATACAAGTACAATCAAACAATATACTGTTATAACAGATGGTAGTTTAGATGCGTTACAATTTATTGACTACAACCGAACATACGATAACCGATGTCTTCTCGATGAACCAGAAGCGCAATCACGCGGATGTTATCGTTTTTCGTTTCATATACAGTAGAAATCATATTTAGTTCCGTTATATTGTAACGAATTTTTGTTATATTGCAAAAATTGATATTGAAAAATATTAAATAAAAAAATCTTTTTACATGAAGAATAAAAAAAAAATATTTATATAATCAAAACAACCGTTATTTGAAATTTGAGTTTGTGCAGAAAAAGACAAACACCATATGTTGAATTTTATAGTAAATAATTTAAATTAACGATAATATTTAGATATTTAATTTTTTTTTAATTTTTAAACAAGATATATTTGATAATGAACTAATTTTATATATTTATGTTTTTTTCTATTTAGTTAAAATGATTTAATAAATATATATAATTTTTTCAAATTATATACGAAAATATATATGTGAAAGTAGGTGTGGAAGAGAGATGGTTGAAATAGACGAGTGAACGGTAAAGAAAAAGTATCTTAAAGAGAAACAGTGCGTTGCGCTAACTCTGCGAAAGTTAACAACCGATTTATTATATTCGATCGAGCGTATATTTCGCGGGGCGGACCCCTCCCCTTTCTCTTATCGAGTAACATTCTAGCCAACTTTCCGATAAAATTGTTTAGAAAGAGATGAAATTTGGAAGCAATCACAGCAACGACGCATCACTGTAGATAACGACATACGTCACGTTTTGTCTTTGAACAACACTTGACGGAAGAGTTTAACCAAATAATAAGAGACAACAAAGATAGTAAAATAAAATGGAGAAAAAATCAATATTTAAGACGAATCATCGTATCATACAGTTGTCGATTATAGCTTGAAATACCAGTCTAATACCGGCAATAGTTGATTGACGTTGAAATAGATCGACATATATTATTCATAAAGATAACTTACGCAAACAAATCCTCCAGAGGTGTGATCGAGGCAGATTCACCGCCGTAATATTTATTACGATCTACATGGAGCACTTTCTTTCCACTGACCGACAGCATACCTGAAAGTATGCATTCCTTGAGTCCAGTGCCTAACACGATCGCGTCGTATTCTTCATTCATATTCGTCGAAATGTAAAGAAATTGATCACAGCACTAAACGTATGAACACGAAGTTCTTGTAAGTTTTTCTTGGGAATGCTATAAAAATCGAAAAAAGATAATCCACGGTCGCGCGTCTGCCAACTCGCACGACTATTATGCCGGAACGGAAGACCTTATTCTTTCGCTTGCTACCGATGACGGAGCTGCTGGCAGAACGAAGGTAGTGGTGATGGTGGTATTACTACTGATGGAGTTACTGCAGCGTTACACTCTCCCTAGGTTTTTGTAATTCCCCATTCAATAATTCATTAAAAAATATCCTAAGATAATAAAATTGCAAATTTTTAAATTTTATAGATTGTTATTTTATTTTTGATTTCATAATTTTAAAATATTAGTAAGTCTATTGAATCATTAGCTAATCATGAAAAAATTTATGCTATATAAGAGTACTAACATTCACCTGTTATTACGTATTTGTTTCATTGAAAGTATGTGAACAATAATTATAAAATTATAAGTCTGATTATGAATGAAGGATGACTTTCAAAAATCGCGGAAATTGTATTCTAGGGATTTGAGAAACTAGGGATTTTGCATTTCCTACGTTAAAAAATTTGAAAACAAGTTGGGACGGTAGATGGCGATAATGAAAAAGCTTGTTGCGACTTGTGACGGTTTTACTTGATAGGTCGACCGATAGGAATTGTCAGTGCGTGCACGACAGTAAGGTCATTCAGTTTGTTGCCGCGGAACGCGAATAAGCATTGGGATACGACAGGGAGCGTGTTTGCAATATCTCTCTGTATTTCTCGAGACGATCTTGAACAGAACAATGTAATTGTTATAGAAATTATTTCATTGAGCATTTATATAAAGCATTTTAACATGTAAATATGTACGGTATTAAATTTAATATTTCGGTAGAGATATTCTGCGAGAAACGCGCTTTATTATAATTCATTATTTTTCTTTTAAGAAAAGACATGTGTAAGTAAAAATTGCTTTTCCTGGTTCGATTTAGTTGTACATTCAATGTGTTGAAAGTTCGGAGACGTGGGGGATTATTGTGAGCCACCCCTTGGGCTTCCACAAGCATTAACCAAGGCCACGTGGACCACGTTGGGAGCCTGGAAAAATGTAAGTTCTAGATTTATTTTATCATCATTTTTATGTAATTTAATTTTATTTAAATTTTTGATAATATATCTCGATATATATGTTATTAAAATTGAAAAGATATTCGATATAAAGAGAAAATAAGAGTTGTGTATCAGAAAATGATACATTTCCAATTCATTGTTGTTTTTTATACAATATTAATGTCAACAAATGCATATTGTGCTTTCTAATAAATTGAAGAGAATAAATTTCATGAAAAAGCGCGATCCTCGGATAAACGTTGAACTAGAGATAATCCTTAAACGATCTGCAATTGTCAGACATATACTGTTTGACATAATTTATATTGTATCGAGATTCAAAATTCGAGATTTGAAATTTTTTTGTTTTTATATTTCATAATTTCCAATACTCTGTGTTTTTATTATTTACTTATATTTTATGAGAAAGTTAAAATGCGGAAGTATGTATAAGGCGTTCTAGCGAAACGGTAACGAGATAGTCCGGAAAAGCAAGAACGATTAAATTGTTTATCATAAAAAAAATCCATGATAGAAATATCAAGATATGATAGAGAAATAAAATTAATTGAAAAATAATACAAAAATAAATTAAAAAAACGAAATAATTATATTATCGATCGTTTAATTATTTTTTTGAAGTTCAAAACCTACATATGTCTATACATGTGTGTACACAATAGAGATAAAGTCGATCAATTAATTCCAATATGTTTCTGTTATATTATCGAAAGGGGATCGAGGATTACTTTCGGGAATCGATTGTAGTTTTTTTTTTTCAAGACCGTCGTTTGACCGACGGTCGTAGTCTCAGGTCACAAAACCGGTTACGCTTACTCCGAGTATTCCTGAATAGTTTTCTAGACTGAAAAAAGAAGTAAGTTTCATCCCTGTTTCGTTATTCATCCAAGAGAGCATATATGTATATATATATATACTCGTTAAATTGCGTAAACTCTAACGTGCAAATGATTCGCTCGCACGGAAATACTGGTGCACATGAAAGAACGCGTAGAACGTTGCTGACGTTGCTTTTGCATTGACAAAATAGAAGAGTGCCGTGACAGAATTAAAATAAATTTGTTCGATATTCCCAAGTTAAAAAGAGGAACTTGATCGATGAAGTTCGAAACGTATAGGGAATCGGGTAAGCGGATGGAAAATATATCGCATTTTTGCGTATTAGATTCTAGTCCATTTGGCGAGTGGTGAATTGCTATCTGAAACTAATCGACCGATAGATAACAAGACGTATTATTAACGTTTTACCTTGGGCGTGTACGCGTTGTTTATCTTTTGCTCGTTATTTACAATGTTTATTAAACGTGAATGCTTTTCTCTTATCGAGTATTTCCAATGTTTCCTATCGTTAATGTTTCCTTTTCGACGAAAAGCTTTCGTTATACTAAATATAATATTAACGGATTCGAAATTCTTCGAATATAAACGATAGCCTACGATAGCTTTTACGTGTACTTATTTTAAATTAAACTCGATATCAGGTTCGACTGATAAAGGAATTATTATTTTTTCTATCATTAAGTTAACAAGTGATAAGAGATAAACAATTCGAAATTATTATTCGAAGCGTATGTTATTTTATATTTTACGAGACAATGTAATAATCCTGCTATGGTTTTAGGAAGCGTGGATATTCGCTTGACCCAATTTCATTCTTCAACTTTTTTACCCTTGATATTACCCGTATAGAACTCGAGAGAGAGAGATTTACGTCGACACTATGTAACTGTTATTGATCAACCAACGGAATCCTTTGGTTTACGTGCACGGCAAACAAGTTCGTTTTCTATGACCGTCGATGAGCAACTCGAGCTATCTCTGTGTATTCTTTCCTTTCGACCGTATCAAGTTTCTGGTTCAAAGGTACCAGGTATTCGAGCCAATTCTTACGTGATAAAATCTTGCCACGACCTTGAAGTATTAACCTCGAAAACAAATCGAGGTATCATCGAAATAGCAAATTGATTAATTTAACTTTTGATGTTCTCATTCTAGTTTTACCTTTTATATCCTTTTTCTCGAGATAGAAGATTATTTTTGAAATAAATTTCCATTCGATGATGACATTCGTTCGGTCTTGGATCACTTCCCGATAATGTAATTTTGCACAATTGGGACTATTTCTAAATTAAATACAATTAATATAATTCATCCTAATGCAATTTATCAGTTCACAGATATTTTTCATTTATCGATTTTTTTTTTTTTTTAATCGTTTTCGTTTTCTCTTTGAAATCGTATCGTGTACGATGGTAAAAAAAAGGGAAAGAACACATGCGAAATCGAGAGAGCATTTTTGTTAGTCTTCATAAACACATACTCGACAATTGATAAGTTTGCATTTTCGCGTTCGAACATAGAAATTTACACGTATTCGTTGGTAGTACAAATGCGGTTGCGAAGAGAAAGGAACAGGAGCTTGATATTGCGTAAAATAAAAAAAGAAAAAAATTCAATTACTGAATCGTCGATTTCGCTTCAGCCTAATTTCTCGGTCGATGAAAAACCTTTTTTTTTTTTTTTTTTGGATTTTACACTATTGTTATAATTATTGAATTTTTTTTTTTATCAAGAAACAGGTATCATTTTTGTTGAAACGGATTATTAATGGTACAACTATAGGATTAGTAATATTTTAGATCAGTATATCAAATCACGAAACGAGAATAACAAGAAAGTCGTGAAGGAGAGGGCATCTGCGATTAAATCTTGCTTTTCTTAATCACAGATTTCGATTCATTTTTTCCCCCCTCGATTTTTTACATTACATCGAAGTCTCCAAAGTTTGACAGGGAAAACAACATTATAAATCCGATCCTGCGAACAATACTATTGGATTATTTAGTATAAGGTGATTAACGTTTCGCATTTTGTAAAATTTTCAGAAGCACTATCGACGACTTTAATCGATCGATTTGCGTTGTATTTGCTCGATAAACTCTTTTTTTCTTTTTTACAATCTTATTAATAGTATATCTATGTTGGTTAAGTGCAAGCGCACTCGCGACAAGGAGAGCGGTACAATTAGATTGGAAATGTATCGCGTCATTTCCTGTAAATCCTTTAGTTATCTCCTCCTGTCTCCCCCCCTTCCTTTCCTTTCTTCGAATAAATTATCATTGAATTTCATTTTTCGAAGAATTCCGACAAAAAGAAAACCAACAACAATTTTTCCCTCCGATTATTTACACTGGGCGTATATTTTCGTGTTTTTTCACCGAGCGAGAAAAGCCAGATTCAAGAGATACACAAATTTCAAAATTCGTCGCGATAAATAATAATAATTCTTATTCTCGATAATTTTTTCGGCAGATGTGCCAGCATGTCCGAAGCCGGTGCGCCAGAAGCAGCGAGCAAGATCGACAGGCAGGCGTCGGTTTACGTGTTCCCAGGGCCGGGGTGTCAGCATTGTACAGCATCCTCGCCCCCGACGCAATCGACGAATGCCACCACCGCGCCCCCCGATGGCGCCTCGAGCTCCGCGATTTCCACGATCGTCCCGCCCCCGAATGTATTCGCGAAGGGGAAGATGATCGACAACGAAGGTGTCGACGAGGATCTCGTTGGGCGGGGGAGGCGAAGGCAGTTGCCGAGGACTCACGCGAGATCGGCAAGCCACGGCGGAATGCTGGCGGAGTGTCTGACGAGCACCGGGTCCCAGCCTTGCGCGGGATCACATCTCGGTCCTTTGTCCGCGATCGGTGGGACGAGGCCCTCGGCCTTGAAGAAGCCTGGCCACCAGAGAGCGTTCAGCCAGGGTCAGGTGGTCGACGTTCAAGGACACTCGGTCACCGGCCACAGCCGTGTCGGGTCGAAAACGGATTTTATCCTTCCGCCCGGTCACAAGGAGGATTCGAAACCGCCCACCGCCGGGAAAGTGCCCTCTTTTCGTGGCCATTCGCGACAAGCATCCAGGTATGTTCGCTCGTATGAACGTACGTATTTCCCCTTTTAAATAATTCCGTCCATTCCCATCCATTTCTTTTCCATAGATCTCTCTCTTCAACAGGACTCTTGTGTCTTGTGTATTTTTATCCGGTAACTAAAAGAATATGGTATCGCGCAAATCCGACGAATCGACTGGTCGGTGTAATTCTGCCATTCGGTTAAACGTTTAAAAATAACTTCTTTTTTTATTATCCGG